TCAAACTGTACTACACAGCCATAACAATAAAAAACAGCATAGTGCTGGCACAAAAACAGATGTGAAGACCAGTGGAACAGAATAGAGGACCCAGATATGAATCCACACAGCTATGCCCACCTGATTTTTAACAAAGGTGCCAAAAACATACAATGGAGAAAAGACATTCTGTTCAATAAATGTTACTGGAAAAACTGGATATCTGCCTACAGAAAACTGAAACTAGATCCATGTTTGTCACCCTGTACAAGTATCAACTCAAAGTAGATTAAGGACCTTAATACAAGGCCTGCAACTAGTACAAGAAAGAGCAGGGAATACACTGGAAGCAATAGGCATAGGCAATGACTTCCTCAGTAGAACTTAATTGGCTCAGCAACTAAGAGAAAGGATTGACAAATGGGACTGCATGAAATTAAAAAGCTTCTTCACAGCAAAAGAAATGTTTCTAAATTGAAGAGGCTACCCATGGAATGGGAGAAAATCTTTGCTAGCTATACATCAGACAAGGGACTAATGACCAGAATTTACAAGGAGCTCAAAAAACTAAACTCCCAAAGAGTCAATGACCCAATTAAGAAATGGGCAAATGAACTGAACAGAGTCTTTTCAAAGGAAGAAGTCCAAATGGCTACAAAACACATGAAAAAATGCTCACCATCCCTGGCCATAAAGGAAATGCAAATCAAAACCACACTAAGATTCCACTTCACTCCTGTTAGAATAGAACAAGAACACCAACAACAACAAATGTTGGCAAGAAATGTGGGGAAAAAGGAACCCTCATACGCTGCTGGTGGGAATGCAGGCTAGTACAACTACTATGGAAAACATTAAGGAGGTTCCTTAAAAAGCTAAAAATAGATCTGACATATGATCCAGCAATCCCACTCTTAGGGATATACCAGAGCAAATGTGAGTCAGCTTACAACATAGTCACCTGCACACCCATGTTTATTGCAGCACCATTCACAATAACTAAGCTATGGAAATAGCCAAGATGCCCCACTACTGAGTGAATGGATTAAGAAAATGTGGTGTTTATATACAATGCAATTGTACTCAGCCACAAAGAATGAAATTTTGACACTCGCATTTAAATGGATGGAACTGGAGAACATCATCTTAAGTGAAGATAGTCAGGCTCAGAAGGCCAAAAGCCACATTTTCTCCCTCATAAGAGGATTATAAACCTAAAACAAATGCAGCAATATAGTGGGATGTGAGTCACACTAAGAGAAGGTTGCACACGGGAGGCATAGGGCAAGAGAAGGAAACTAAAAACTTGATGTGGTTGATGTGCAGGAATGAAAATAGAGATCTTAAACCGGCTGGGACCATAATGGGAAGGGGACTAGGGAGGAGTGAAGAGTACTAGAGGAGATGAACCAACTGGAGTTGTAATACATTTATGCATGGAAACAACACAAGGAAAAAATTATCTTATCTGAAACTAGCAAAACCATGATATTTTTATCTTTTTTCTTCTACAAAATCGGAGAACAAGAAGACAGAACAGGTTCAGGGTGGGGGTAGGTTGGCACCAGTGAGATGGGGAGGTGGCAGGAAAAGGGTTTAGAAGGATGAATAAGTGCAAATAATGTGTACACGTGTCTATAAATGCAAAAATCATACCTGTTGAAACTGTTCCAGGAATCAGGAGGGGAGTGAAGGAGAGCAGTGGAGGGGGTGAATTCAAATAATATATATTTGATACATTGTAAGAACCTTTGTAAATGTAAATGCCCTAAAGTCTCTCCAACCAGCGCAACAATAAAGGAAAAATAAAACACTCTTGGAGGAAGTACTCAAATAAAAAGGGAATTGAATCAATGACATCACAACAAGGAATACAGCAATAGGGTGATTTGTCAACAAATCCAGGCCATATGTACTTTTAAAGGGGTAAGTGTATGTATATGTGCATGTGTGTGTGTTTTGTGCAGTCCTGGGATCGAAACCAGGGCTTCACATGTGCTAAGCACATCTCTACCAGTGAGCTACAATCCCTGCCCCACTATATATTTTTAGTTCTAGATATACACACACACAAACACACACACACACACACACACACACACACACACACACAATGTATTTGGTGGGAGAACTGGCATTTGATGAGGGAAGGATAAAATCAAAAGGACATAAGAGAGGGCTAGTAGAATGGCTCAGGTGCACTTACCAGAGTGCCTGCCTAGCAAGCATGAGCCCCTGAGTTCAAATCCCAGTGCAGCCAAAAAAAAAGAAAAGACATAAGAGTATGTTAAAGAAATTGGGGGCAGGCAGGTTGCAGCCTTGTAATCCTAGCTACTCTAGAGATAGAGATCGGGAGGATCATGGTTGGAGGCAAGCCAGGCCAAAAGTTTATGAGACTCCATTGCAACAAATAAAGCTGGGTGCTGTGGCACGCACCTGTCATCCCAGCTACCCAGGAAGTTTAAATAGGAGGATCATAGTTCAGGCTTTCCTAGGCATGAATGTGAAACTATTTGAAAAATAACTAAGCAAAAATGTGCTGGAGGAGGGGCTCAAGTGGTACAGTGCCTGCCTAGTGAGTTCAAGACTCTGAGTTCAAACCCAAGTACTGTGAAAAAAACAAAACAAAACAAAAAGAATTTGGGACAAGATATAAATATTAGAGTATTTTAAAAAGTTTAAGCTGGCAGAGTGTCTCAAGTGGTAGAGGGCCTGCCTAGCAAGCATGAGACACAGAGTTCAAACCCCAGTACCACAAAAAAAAATTATTAGAGAAATTTTAAAAGGTAAATAAACACGAAGGTGTGTCTGTCTTAAAGGTAACCAACTGAGAAGGGTAGAAAAGGAGGGGAAATGGAAAGAGAATACTTAATTAATGGATACAGGGTTGCAGTTGGGTAGGAGGAATGACTTTTTTTTTTTTTGAAGGTCCAGACTGACTTCAAAATCATCATCCTCCTGCCTCAACCTCCTGAGTGCTGGAATTGCAGTCATATACTACCACATCTGGCTTAGGGCAACAACTTTTAATGTTCTCCTACACAGTTAGGTAAGTATGACTGATAACAATTAATTGTATATTTCAAAATAGCTAATAGGATTTGAATGTACCAATTAAAAGAAATGATAAATGTTCAAAGTGATGGATATGTCAGTTACTTTGATCAGATCATTTCATACATGTGTTGAAATATCACATCATAGCCTATTAATATGCATAGTTATCATGTGTCAGTTGAAAATATAAATTGAAAATTAAAAACAATTACCATAAGAATAGAATCAGTATGTATAGCTTTTAATCCAGTAGAAAAAATTAGTTTGTCAAGTGAAAAGCAAGGAAAGGGAAGAAATAATAAATACAAAATGTGGAATGAGTTGCAAACAGCAGTTACAAATTAAAACATGAAGACTTCAGCATGGAGGAAATAAAAAAGTCAAACCACATGTGATTTCCAATAAATACTCTGAAAGCAGTAACACAGCAAAAAGAGAGAAAAAAAAGATTTACCTGGTGGCAAGTATGATGCAAAAGAAAGTTGGACAGCCTCAATCCATAACAAAATAGAATTTAAGATTAATAAAATACATAAAGGACAAAAGACAAGACTTTTTTTTCTTTTCTTTTCTTTTTTTGGTGCTGAGGATCAAACCCAGGGCCTCCTGGATGAGGGCTTTACCACCAAGCTACACCCCAGCCCAAGAATTCTTGTGCTATTGTAACTTCTCTATGCGGCTGAAACCATTTCAAAATAAAAGTATTAAAATGTCACTAATCTTTGAGTTAAAAGAAAAATGTACAGAATATAAAGAACACTTAGAACTGGATAAAAAATAAAATATTACATATGAGAATGTGGTAAGTATGATTAAAGCAGAATTTAGAGGGAAGTTTTTACCTTTAAATACACTTATCAGGAAACAAAAAAAAAAGTTACAGCCAAATGAGCAAATCATTTAGCTCAAAAGTTAGGTACAGAGGAACAGTGTAAACCCAAAGACGGAAGGAAATAATAAAGTAAGAATAGAGATCAATGAAATAGAGAACTAAAAGCAATAAAAGAGATTAATGAAAACAAAAGCTGACCTTTAAAAAGATTCTTGTATGTATCACTCCAGAAAATAGAATGAAGAACAATATCTGCCCAGCTCATTGAACAGAGGAATTTTTATTATAAGAAAAGTGAGTTTTATGTCTATACTTCATAAAAAGCAAATACAACACCCTAGGTAAAAAATTAACCAAACAAAACCAAAGGTAAGTGTGTGACTAGAATAATCAAATGGGATTACTCCAGGACTACAAAAATATTTCACATTTTAAAAATCTCTCAATAAAATCACTATATTAGGAGATTAAGAAGAAAAGTTGGATACACTGAAATAAATCAAGGCTGGAAAACTTTTTAATTTTCAATATCTATTTTTATAAGAAAAACCCTTAGATAAAGGATGCCAAAATACAGTGAGATAGGAGGCTTTAACTCTAATGTTCTACATCACAATAGAGTAACTACAGTTCACAACAATTTGTTATATATTTTATAAAGAACTAGACAAGAGGAGTACAAAGATTTCCAAAACAAATCATAAATGTTTAAGGACATGGAAATGCTATTTACCCTAATGTGATCATTACACACTGTGGCAAAAAGTTAGTGAGACCCCATCTCAAGAATAAAGCTGCTATGCCTCTGACAAAATAAAAGTCATTCCTTCATGCCCTGCTCAGAATCTCTTGGAAGCCTCATTTGCAATGGAAGAAAAGGGTCTGGAGAACCAATGAGTCCCCCCATCTGGGACCAATCTCCACTCTCTGTAGCCCCTGGGGACAATCTGGCCAAGAAGTGGCAGGAAGAATCTTTCTTACACATATTACTCAGTCCCCTACTCTTTCTCCTACCTATAATAATCTGGCTTCCTGGATCCCAGGAGATCTACATCACACTTTTTCCTATTCCTAACTTGGAAGGGGATAGCCTTCTCTATTTAAAAAAAAAAAAAACCTACAAGTTTACAGCAGAGAAAAGCCTACACTGGTAATCTCTAGGGGGAGAATGGAGGTTATCCAATTAGCTGATTCTCTCCTCCCTTCTCCTGGTGTCCTGTTCCTTTGGTCCACACTACTGTGACCAGACCCCTCAGATGTACAGATTCTCTTTCAAAACTGCCCAGGAATAGATAAGACTCAAAATCCCACCCCAAAACTAGACTAGAATTTCAAAAGGAATTTGCTTTGTCAAAAATGAAAAATAAAACTGGCAAAATTTACAGAGATTAATTTCTGATCCTACATTTACCAATTACCTTCCCAAGCACACATCACTCCATTTCTTCCTATCCTCTATTGTCTTGATCAGAGAATAAACATTTGAATTCATGAACAATTTCCCCTCCCCCCCATTGACTTCTTCCATAAACTCTTTCCAAATGAGATGTTTTAATCACAGGATCTGTCTGGGGAAATTATGAATGTGGTGATCAATATATTGATTGGGAAAACACTGAGCATCTACCTTGGACATCAAGTTTGTATGATGAATGGTTCCCCCATTTTTCTCTAGGCCCCGTAAGTATGGAAACAGTCTAGGAACAGAAGGTTCTAGCCCCATGACCACCCCACCCACACCTACTACAGAAAGAGCCCACAGGAAGGTTCTACACATAGTCTGTCTTCTGATTCCTTCCCCCTAGCTCATGAAAACCTGATTTTATGAGTTGTTACATAGATACCCATATGCAAACCTGTGTCCATAATGCCTTATTCTCTCTCCACAATCCTGTTAGATTAAGCTCCTTCAGTGCTTGTCTTTATTTCTTTCCATATCTTGGTTTCTTTCCCTCCCTGGCAGTTGAGTTTCCAATTCTTATTACAAAAATAATTCTACAGCCCAAATTTCTATGTCTACCAGTTATCTCCACGGGAAAACAAACAGCATCAAATGGTGTCCTCTCTTCAAAAGATGAAATCTATCCCCCAATGGTGGGTGTCCCTTGGATTTTGGATAGAAGGGAATGGAAGGGTGACCTTCCAGAGAGCTGGGCTAATCTCACATGAGGATCTTCAGAATAATCTTACTTCCAACTCAGGTAGACAAACACCCTATAAAGAATTTGTTCTTTGACCTTGGACAAGTTATTTAACTCTTCTGAACCTTACTTCCTTGGTCTGTGACTTAGAAGGAAACAATCAGTGCCTTATGTGGTTATTGTAAGAAGAGAAGAGATGCAGATGCAAAGCACTTGGCCCACTGCTGAAGACATGCACTCAAGCTATGCTCCCATCCCCACTTAGGGTACGGAAAAATTAACTTTCTAGAACTCAAATGTGAAGTTAAGCTCTGTCCTCCTGATTCCTGACTTTCTTCATCTTGTGACGAAGATCAAAGAAAATAACACACACAAGCATGTGGCACAATGCCTGGCCCAGAATGTTGACTATCTGATAATCACTAAGGCACCTATTGTGGAATCACATTGCCAGCATTTTCTTAGTCTTTTATAGGAATAAACTCATCTAATCCTCGTAAGACCCCCCTATAAAATGAATAAGCTGTTATACCTCTCTCTTCCTTACTTGGTGACTCCATCTCACAGCAGCCTAATTTCTTCACATCAATTATAACTTTAAAACCTGCCACCAATTCTGTCATGTCTAAAAGGAAAACAGGAGAAGGCACTGACTCCTTCACTCAAGTAGGAGAAGCTTGGCCTTAGCCCTATTCCATATTCCATCCATAGGGCCTCAGGAAAAACACATAGAAAACTAGTATTTCCACCACTTTATTTTAGAGATGACCACCAGCAGCTCACTGTGCCCTGTGGCACAGTGGAGCCTTCAGGAGGGACTTCAGCTCCCTCTTCAATTATATTCATCCCAGAAATATAATCTTGGACAATAATTTGATCACAGAGTATTCCCAGGAATGAGTTCCCCCAAGTTACTAAGGTTTTTGTAGGGGGAGTTTGGAAAGTCAAAGAAATGAATGGAGAAACCTTAGTCTTAAGAAAATGGGGGAGGAGATACTGAAGATGTCGGGAGGCATGATAGCTTCATTAACAGTTTGAATCTCCTTCTTCCTTGAAATGGAAGTTGTAAGATTTTGGCCTTAGGAAATGTGCCGACCTGCAGAAGAAACAGAAAGGAAATGATTATAATAACCCAATTTTCCCCATAATTTGTGTCTGTAATCATCCCATGCCAGAGTCCTTAATAAAGTGATATGAAATTCTAGGTCTCCAGAACTAATATAATGGAACACCTTCAGCCTGCTTCCCATAAACAATCCACTGGGTAGAGGAGAAAGTTTAGTCTCTCTTCTTTCCTTTTTCCTCCTAATCTTAACAATGGCAGCTTAAATCATGCCCTCACTAGATATTTATGGTAGCTCATCCCTACTATAAGCACTATTAGCTAAACACAGCACCACTTCTCTTTAACCCTTACCCCATTTGAAGTGAGCAAACAGACCAACAGAGATTTACCTTCTGGATAATTGGATCCAGGGAGAGGAATATAGCCTAGAAGAGGAAGATCCTTGATTAGACCACTCTTTGTGTATAAAAGTATACAGAATTATTCACAAGTGTGATGGGAGTGAGAGAATCAATCACAAACAGAAAGTGAGCAGAGACAGACAGCAGGAGTGAGCATGAGGGTTCGAGGGGGTCACTCACTGGAGGATCTAGCCTTCTGCCAGCTGAACAAACCAAGAGAGAAGAGGATGCAGCCCAAGCCCAGGGTCACAGCAGACACAGAAACCTTCACTGTCTGCATGGGGGACAGCCCAGGTGCTGAAAAAAAAAAAAAAGAAAGAAAAGAAAAAAAACTTACTACAACCAATCTCATGACTCATTCTTAAAGCAACTTAAATGTATTCCAACCTCCACCTAGAAGCTTCAAAGGTCCTTTATCCGAGCTCCAATGTCTGGCTTGTATCAACCCACTCCCAAGGAAATGGCCTTCCTCAGTGTCCCATGCTGTGGATGTCTACTCCTAGAGAAGTCTTAGAGAACATGCCTTCCCAGAATTACCGCCCCAGCTCCACTCTCTCTCTAATGCAGTAGGACCTCTCAAGGCATTTTCTTTCCTTCCTTCACTCTCACCAGCATGGGTTCCTCCTCCCCTATCCACTGCACCCACTGTGACAATGTTTGCTCCCTTACTTGCTCCATCTGAGCAGTTTCCCATTAAAATGTCTCTCCATCTATCCTAATCTCCAAAGGTTTCATTTTGTGAGTTATCCTAGTGCTGTGTCTTCCACATCCACATTTCCCATTATCCTTTCAGAGCTTGCCTCCATCCCACTCCATAGTATTTCCACATCCCACTTTCTAGAGCTGATTCTATTCTGAATGTGTCCTACTGAATTCTTTTTCCATGATAAAATGAACACTAAATCACCTTGTGTGCCCTGTAAGAGACCTTACGCTGAAGAACTCACGTGGACATATGAGTTCCACGCTCTTCCTATTCCCATTCCCCTCCTACCTGCTCCACCACAGGGGAAGGCCTGGCCCTGGCAGTCAGTCTAGGGTCCTGTTCCCTAGTCCTTCCTAGTCACTATTCCTCTTTCTCTTTGCTTTCCCAAGAGTCTCCAAATCTGTGCTCAAGTTCTCTTATTACCTTTAACTATTCCCAATCCTGGGTTTCAAAAGAGAGGCAATGAGTTCTTCATTCATTAACCAAATGGTAGACACCAAGGTGTCTACCAGCCATGGCTTTACCACCCCATTATACTCAACAGATCAGCCCAAATTCAGTGTGACCCCACACTGAAAGTCCCCTTTCTTCTTCAATCTTAGTTTTTCAATTCCTATTCCTGACCTAACAACAGAATAGTTGAACTCTGAGAAGACTAGAATAGTGAATTCCAGTGTTTGGTTCTGGGCTGGTAGTGTGGCTCAAGTAATAGAGCACCTGCCTAGCCAGCGTGAGGCCCTGAGTTCAAACCCCGGTACCACCGAAAAAAACATCTAAAATCAATATTTTGTTGTGAAAATGTAATTATCAAATCTATATCTTCTTTTGGAATAATCATGCTCCCTCCTACCTTCAAATACAGATACAGCAACATCAACCACACCACAAACACAACAATACTGACTTATTCTTCTTATTCCCACACCCATTGCCCTACCTCTGGTCATTAACCCTCCAGAAATTCCTCCAGACTCATTTTCCATTTCCACTATCTCTCTCTCTACCATACACCAGTAAGCTGTCTACAGCTTACTCTCTCTACCAAAATATTGGTGTTTCTTTTTCAACTAGCAACTTCCAGTACTTCTCTGCTTCAACCCTAATTCTTCCCATCCACTACACACTTACTCCAGTCCCGAAGGATGGGCTCAGGAGTCCCAATGTGTTCCACCACACAGGTGTAGGTGTCCCCATAAGAGGGGGTTAAGGCTAAATGGGAAAGGGCCTGATATGTCCAGTCTCCATTGGGCTGGGCAGTCTTCTGGGCACTGTGGTCAGGGGTGATAAGCTTCCCATTCTTCATCCACGAAATGGTTAGATCAGCAGGATAGAAACCCCACACATAACAGGCCAGCATTACAGGCTCCCTTGTATTAAAAGGAGTGATTCGAGCTACTTGCACAGATGGTGGTCCTGCAAAGGAGAAAAAAACATGTCAGAAAGGAGGTGATAGTCTAGCTTTTTCTCTAACCTGGTTTCTTTCCTATTTCAATTCTTCATAGATTTTGCCAATTTACTATCCACACTCATCTCCCCCTTGCCAAGCCACCACTTGAAAGTAAGGAGTTAAGAGTTACTTCTACTTGACTGTGTTTTTTCTCCCATTTTTTCCTTGCCCCTCTTTCCAAAATTGTATTTAATCACCATTGGCAAATGCCAAAATGCTGTTTTGGAAGTCATTGTGCTTATGCCAAGTATACTACTTTGAAAGTACAAGCAAACCGATCCAGGATTATAAATTGAGATTTGTAAAGGTAGAAAAAATTTCCCCAAATCTTGTCTAGCAAATTAATTTTCTAAATAAAGCCTTTTCTCCTTAGATAGTTCAAGGGAACAATCTTAACTCTCTTAATTTTGGAATTAGTGTAACCCAAATTAATGAGATTATTAATACTGTCATAATTTACTAGTTTATTCTCACGTGACTTTCCTGTTTCCCTCCACCTAGGTATTTTTTAAGTAAAACATTAAATAAAAATCCAAGAAATTATGTTAAAATTCAGATTCCCTAGCCTGCATCCCCAGTATTTTCACTCAATGGATCTAGAGAGGTGCCTAGTAACTTTCATTTTAAATAATAAGCACCTCTGCCAGACAATTATGAGAAGGATAATTTAGAAACTGCATCTTAAGACACACTACCCTGCCCTATGGAGAACTTCAAGCTTACTTTTACAAACTTCAAGCCATTCTCAATGCAAGGGATTCAGGAAGAGAGCATGTGTCAGAATCCCCCTCAAGCCTTTCCAAGTATTCCCATGCCTAGGCCTACTCCAAAACCTACAACATCAAAATCTGGGATAAAAAGGCATAAACATTTTGGGAAAAGCCATTCTGGTCATTCTGACATAGCCTTGTTGAACTTGAATCTGCATCCTGAGATGGCCTCACAGGCTTAAACATCACTTCCTCTTCTCTACATCTGTTCCTCCCCCCTCAATCACCTTGCTCCCCTTTATGTTCAATCCTCCATCTTTCTACATCCAGGTCCACACACTTTCTGCTTCTTTCCTGCTCAAATCTCAACCCCTTTCCTGGTGAAGGGTCTCCCCTGCCCTCCCCTTTCCTAGCTGTGCTTCCTTACAGCCCCTCTGCACCCTCTCTCCTCACGTGTTCTGTTGGTCAGTGACTCCCAGAAGGGCTGGGTGTGTGTGGCACAGTCTTGGAGCCCATTGTGCAAACGCTGGAGCAGACTTTTCTGATTGTTGAGGTAATCTGATAAGTATCTGGCCAAAGGATTCAGTGTCCCGAATTCACAAGGGGCCATTTTTCCTTCTTCTGGATCCCAGCATGTCAGCAGATCCTTGTTGAAGGAGATACAATATGTGAAATCTTTTGGAGTCCCACCATCATCCAATAGACAGGTGCTTTCCACGTGAGCCACAAAGCCACCTAGATGGGACAGAGAGGGAGGACAGGTCAGTGCCTACTGTTAGTATGACATACTTAAAAATATGGTCTCTGCTCCAGTTCATGGTACAAGAGTTTTTAAAATACTTGTAATTTCATGATGGGGGATGGCTAGATGGATCTTTTATTCTAATTGGTCTTTCACCCAGTTCCTGATACTGAGCTCCTATCCCTTGGAATTTCCTAGGTGATATCAGTATCATTTGTTCTAATGAAGTGACTTTTGGTGGTCTTCTAGAGAGGTGGTGGTCACTAGAAAGTCTGAGACTTGATTCGAAGCTTGGAGTTTTTATCCCTATCCTCTATCCTCCAGGAATAGAGGAGAAATGGGAGATTGAGTTAATAACCAATCATGCCTATGTGAAGAAGCCGCCATAAAAATTCCTATATTATATGTTTACCAACTAAGACCTTCTCCACATGTCAGGAGGATAGCATATCCCAACTCCAAGAGAACAGAAGCTCCCGCACTTGGAAACTTCTGGATCTCACCCTATGTGTGCCCCCTTCATCTGTATCCTCTAAAATATCCCTTGTAATAAACTAGTAATAGCAAGTAAGGTATTTCCTTAGGTTATCTGAGTCTCTCTAGCAAACTATCAAACCCAAGGAGGTTGTTGTGGGAGCCTCTGACTTGTAGCCATGTTGGACAGAAGTTGTGGGTAACCTGGGGGCTTGGGGGGCAGTATGTGGGACTGAGCTCTTAGCCTGTTGGTCTATGTTAACCTTGGTTGGTGTCATAATTGAATTGGATTGTAGGATATCTAACTGGCATAGGTGAATTGATGGCATGGGGGGAAAACCCACCCATCTAACCACAGAAGTATTGTGTGAGCACATAGAAAAAAAAAGGTTGTTTTTCCTATATTCAGCTGGAAACTCAAGCCTCAGTTGCTCTCAGTCTGGCAGAGATTTTCCACCTCGGGCAGCACCCACTGACCAAGCTCACACACTGGGGTCTCTGAGAGCTCCAGTCTAGGGGAATAGATGGTATAGTACAGATCCAGTTTCTTGGGACTGGGAGTATGGTTTAAGTGGTAGAGTGCCTGCCTAGTAAGTACAAATTCAAAACCTAGTACAAAAAAATGTTGTGGATCCAGTTTCTTCTTTATGTGACGCTAAGTACTGGGATAGGAGTAGCCCAAGATTATTTTCATATTTAAACATAATCATTTACCCCAAACACAGACCTCAGTAAAACAAATTATTGAGAGAGAAAACAAAAAAAGGTCAAGAGAGTCAGTCTTGTTCTGTGCTAGAAATATTATGAACAATTCATACATTTTTTTGAGACAGAGTCTTACTATGTAGGTCAGGCTGGCCCAGAACTTGCTGTATAGCCCAGGCTGGTCTCGAACTTATAATCCTCCTTCCTCAGCCTCCCAAGTGCTGGAATTACAAGTGTATACCTCCATGCCTGGCCACTTGTTATGTTCCAGGCACTGTGCTAGGAGCTAGAGATGCAAGGCAGACATTGTCTTTGCCTACATTTCAGCAGCAGATATACATTCACAAATAACTACACAGCTTGATCACTATCAAAATTGCTGCAAAGATACAGTACAAAGTGTTATAGAAAAAACATAATAGGGAAACCAAAACCCCAATAACAAAACTGAACATCCTTATCCCAAAAAAGGAACAGGGAAAGGGAGAGTCCCAGGAAAGAATTTCCTTACCTGCTCCAGTGCAGCTCAGGCTGAGGCCTAGCAGCAGAGGCAGGAGTGGGATCATGCTCTGCTCTACAAAGATGTGGGGAGTTCAAGCCCCTGGACCAGTTCTTGCTGGGTCTTCTTCTGTACCGGAGGCCCCAGTCTGGGTAAATGATCTCCACACACTGAGTGACATATGGTATTGCACAGGTCCCTTGATTCTCACTACCCAGCCCCTAGATCCCAAACCCGTTCCTACCAACTTGTCCAAGTCTTGTTTCCCAGACTGAAAGTTGTCAGATTAGCTAGGTAGGCGGAGATAAATGTAGAGACAAATCGCTGAGTGCCACAGCCTAGCATCATCAGTTGTTAGGTAAACCTCATCCTGCCCTAGGCTTAGATAACAGGACTCTTAGACTCTCAAATCTCCTCACCTTTTTTTTTTTTTTTTTTTTTTTGAACAACAAGTCTGTGGGTGATTTTCCAAGATCAGTGGAGGGAATAACCCCAACTTCAATTCCCAGGATGTATGCAGCCTGGATCTCCAACTGATTTGACTTTCTCCTCTCATTGCCCTTCTGAAAAACAAGTCTACATAGCCTTCATTTTTCCCTCAGGAGAGGTTACCTAAATAACACATAAACCCCTTGGTCTGTCTTGTCACCCAGGAGACAGGAAGACAAGGAGACTTTCTGAGGCAGATGGCAGAGGCAGGGCAGCTGAGAAGGAAGGAGGTACAAAAAGAGTGCACAGTTATCTGTCTCAAAGCAAGAAAGGAAGCAGTTCCACCTTAGAGACCAGAGACAGGGCCTGGAAAATCCCTTAATGGGCCTCCATTGCTTCTTAGCTAGTTAAGCTCCATTTCCTCCTCAGCTATTACAGCTGCTTTCTGGAGCAAGGAAACCCTATCCTCCTATGCTCAGAATCATCTCCAGGGTAGACGGCAGGGAAATTTCCCTAAAGCCCTGGAGTAAATACCTGAAGATAGGCCCAAAGCTCACTTTCTTTCTTTAAACTCTGAACTCCCCTGAATGTTTCCCTTCCTATCCCTTCTGTCCCAGGCAGGTCCCTGCATTATGAAACCACTAGAACGATGAGATAAACTCCCCTACTATTCTCCTGGAAAAGACATTTTTATTTAAGGTTTTTTCCCCCCACTCTTGGGAATTAAATCCAGGGCATCACACAGGCTAGGAAAGCACTCTACCATTGAGCTACATCCCCAGCCTGAAAAGACAAATTTTAAGTGGCAACTAATTCTTCTATCCAACTATATAATTGATGTCTTTCCATCATAAACTTAAAACCCTGAATTGGCTTCCCTATGCTTCCCAATAGGCTTCAGGGATACCTCTTCTCACCTTAGTTTCTGAAAGCTCTTGGATTTGATTTAATAGTGAACTAAACAAAAGAAGGTTTAGAGGGAGCCCCATGATACCACACTTACCTGCCCTCCCTCAAAGCCCTTGACTCCAAAAGAATATGATGCTTATGAAGAAGAAAAAAAGCATGCACCAAAAATGAGTTAAAATGTCAATATCAGGAGTGAAAGACTTGTTTTGTGTTACTAATTGGCATTAACTGAAGTTCTTCCCATATTTTCCAGCCACTTTCACTCTCTCACCCACCTTTGTTATAGACTATAAATCCTGCAAAGAACTGCCAAGCATTTTGGAATGAGTAGAACATGGGGTGTGCAGTTGAAAATTTGTTGAGCCTCCACTTTGTAACAGATACTATTCTAGGTAAGTCCTTTATGTCTCATTTAACCTTAAAAGACTTGCTAATTGTTTCATATTGTAGATTCAAAAACAGGTCTTGAGGCTCAAGGTCTAGAAGCTTATACAACTCCTACGTTCCTACACACACACACACACACACACACAAGTATGCCCACACACTCACTTTATTCTTGGACTGGAATGGCACAGATAATGGAAGTTAATGAGAAAAGGAGGAAGAAAAGAGCCACAATCCACACCCAATCCATCTAAGACTCATGTTTCCTGTGCTCAGAGTTCCTTCTGCTCTTAGAACCACTGTCTTCTACTTGCTGTTTTGATAGGTTCAAAACTATGTGAATCCGCACACACACACACCACACATTTCCCCTCCCATTCCTCCCTATCCTGCCTGAGTAAGTGAGCCTTCCCTTATAAGAACCAGGTCTTGGCATCCTTTCCCATAGCTACAAAACCCATTCCTGGCAAAAGTCTGCTCTCGGTATGGTCCTGTGCTGTGCCAGGCGTGGCACTAGCCCGTGACAGTAAGGCTGAGCAGAGTTCCCTCTCGTGTCTAGGTCTTTGCTCCAGCAGTCAAAGGGGATCTGAAACCTTCTGTGAGGCAGTAGCAGGAAATGCCAGGAGAAGATTTTACTTCTGTATTCATGTGAACACCAAGGGAGATTTTTAGAACAAGGCAAGACAGAAAACCCAGAGTCCTGTGCTCAGCAAAACAGTTTCTTCTTTCTGCCCCTCCTTCCAACCACTATTTTTACAGATGAAGATTTGTCTTCCCACCTCTAGCCAATTCCAAATAATATCTTGACTGTCCTGCCCATCATTACTTATTTGATCATTGTTTGACCAAATTTGTGCAGCACTAAGACCCCTAGCCAGGTTTCCATATGCTGTCTGTCTTTTGCAGCCATTATGTAAGACCCAGAGTGGTCCTCACTTTTTCCCACTGCCTTTTCCCCTAGCCTGGCCACCACATACCTTCAGTGGAGTAATCCCAGTGTTTATGTGCAAAGCATTACAGGGAATGCCCAAAGTTGAGAAATATGGACTCTGTCACCACATCACCTCACCTGAAGTCAGCTGTAGAGCGGGAACAAACACAGAAAGAAGAGTTGCTGCTAAAGTGAGTAAGCAATAAGGCTAATGGACCTAAAAGGAGAAAGAGAAATCATCATGGGCATGGTGGGCAGGGAGTCCTCTCAGTGGAGAGGGGGCTGGAAGTGAGCCTTGAGCACTGGACTGGATTCATGTGGGAAAAGAGGAAGGCGATTGTATCGCAGTCCTGGCATACAGCTCCCGAAGCCGGCACTGTGTGAGGTGCTGCTGGGACTCTACTAGGAGCCTGGGCTGCTGAAACAAAAAGTAGCTACTATATGGTCACTACAGTGGCTCAAATGTGGTCATGCTTTTTCTGAGAGTGTGGCCATAACAATGTAAATTCTCTTTTAGGCACTTCCTAAGATCCCTCAATGTATGTTCTCAGCTTCCTCTTCTGGACAGATGGTTTTCACTCAAGCCTCCATTTTATAAACAGAAAAAAAAAATGCTCAACCAGTCAATCATTTGCAATCTAAAACAAATGGCATGAGACCACAGGGTTTTGAAAGTCAAAATTAAGTAATTCTACTCAATGAAGGAATTATATGCAAATTTAACTGATGAGTAGCAACAGAAAGAAGGCATTTTTGACATTGATTCTGACCTGAGACAGAATATATGTAGAGCATATGACATAGAATATACATATCCTCAAATTCAGAACAAAAAAGACAGAAAAGGAAATTTAAAAACTGATAGAATGCATGAATCAACAGTTCACAGACAGAGAAACTTGTGAAAAGAGAGGAGAGAAAGGAAAATTAAGGCAATGAGATACCACTCCACACCCACCATATTACCAACACTGGAAAGTCAAATGACTTCAAGTGTTAGTGAGGACCTGTTGTGTTGGAGGGAGTATCAACTGCTTCTGATCCCTGAATTGTAGAAATTACAAACTACTTGGGTGAAAAAATTAGCATTAGAAAACAAGGCAGCATATCCTAAGAGTAAAGTCTGGGTTGAGTACTCTCTGTATTTTTTTTTTTTTGGCCTTTTGAGACAGGGTCTCACTATGTAGCCCAGGCTGGCCTCAAACTCTCTATCCTCCTGCTTCCACTTCCCCAGTGCTAGGACTACAAGGATGCACTGCCATGCCCAGCTCTGTTTTTGAAGAATTTAGAGAATATCAATTAGTAGCAAGGCACCAGTGGTTCATGCCTGTAATCTTAGCCACTAAGGAAGCAGAGATCAGGAGGATGGCAGTTCAAAGCCAGACTAGGGAAGACCTTATCTCAAAAAATACCCAATAGAAAAAAGGGCTGAGACTTTCTATCAAGTGATAGAGAGCCTGTCTAGAAAGCAGGAGGCCCTGAGTTCAATCCCTCAGTACCAAATATATATATACACGTGTGTGTGTGTATGTGTGTGTGTGTGTGTGTGTGTGTGTGTGTGTGGTGATGGATGATTAGGCATATGTTCATGAAGAGGTTAAATGTTTGTTGGACCCAGGGTTGGTTAAGATGGGAGCAAGTTGAACAAAGAAAATGAAGGTATTCTAGTGAGAGGAAAGAGCCTGGACAAATGCTCTAAAGTGAAGACAAACTTGATGCTGTTAATGAAGAGTGAGTAGAAGCCATTCATTCAAGAATGAGATATCTGATCTAGGGGTGTAGCTCAGTGGTAGAGCACTTGACTAGTGTCCATGTGGCTCCAGAATGGGATTCCTGTTGGATATCATTTCTTTATTAGGAGGGGGCACTCTTGAATGCTTCTAGAGTATTTGAGTGACAGTATAATGGATTGCTGAAGAGAGGGCCAGGCATAGTGGTGCATGCCTGTAATCCCAGCACTCAGGAGGCAAAGGTAGGAGGATTATGAGTTAGAGGATAGCCTGGAATACATAGTGAGACCCATCTCAGAAAAATTTCTTGATGAGAGCATCTAATCTAAGTCCATCATTTGACAGAGGAAGAATTTTGAAGCTCACAGAGGGTAAGTGACTTATGTATGTAAGGTTATATGGCACAATAAAAGAAGTTTTAAGCTTTTATTTGCAGGAATTGCTGGCAAAGTTGGAAAATAAAATAGAAAGTATGAAGAACTAGAAAACAATAAGTACCAATCTAGAAAAGCAAAATAATAATGAAAAGAAAAATATTTCAAAGGGAGAAAATAGAATACTGAAGGCAGATTCAAAGTGTTTTAGAAAAGAGAAAGAAGTCAAAGGTGCTACAAAGTTCTGTGAAATTCAGGCAGATGATGATATGCCAAGTTACCATGCACTTTTTCTATGTGTTAAATACTACTCTCAGCATTGCATCTTTTCTAAAGATTTACAATAGGACTGATGGTATAGCTTGGTAGTACAGTGCTTGCCTACCATGTGTGAGGTCTGGGTTCAAAACCCAGCAACACAAATAATCATAGTAATTGCAATAATAATAAAGAGAAGATTCACAACAGCTCTATAAGGTGGACACCATCATTATCATCATCATTTACTGGATATGATACATTAAGCAACTTGCCCAAGGGCACCCAACTAAAACTCAACCATCATGATGGAATTCCCTGTGGTCTAGTTCTGGAACTCATACTTCTTAATTAGCATGCCCATACATGCTGCTGTAAGAAATGAAATGGTGCAGGGGAAATGCCAACCCCTGAGAAGAATTGAATGTTTTCCCCTAGATTAGACTCCAATACAATACAAAGAATAGAGGCTCCCTTACTAATACTAAAACAATTTCACTCTTAACCTTAATGCTAGCCGAGCCTTCACAGCAACTTCCCATCCCTAAGGAACACAAAGAATAAAGCATATGCAGGCAATTAACCACCAGCGGCTATGTACCGACTGCTCCCACTGTCTGCCCAGGACTGCACTGTCACAGTTCCCCTTGAATGGTTCACTTAGGTCAACGAACAGATTGTTTGGAAGAACACATGATTTCTTTGCCCTGCCAGGCTGCTCCCACTTCACTTGAGGAGCTCAGTGACACTGTTTTCACAAAATTCATTTTCTGAGTCAGAAAAGCATCTGGAGGTGAATCCTTTCCACTTCTGAGCTCCTGTTTTTACAGTTATGGTAAGGATTGGAGAGTTATGCATTCCTCAAGGCAGCAAATACTAGACATAAACATTTCCACCAACAGCAGAGTACAAAACAACACCACAAGAAGCTTCCTCAACTATTTTGTGAGATTACCAGAAAAATAGCTCTGCCCTCATTTCTCACATATTTTGAACAAGTTGATCATGTTGTGTGGAGAACAGGGAACAAGAGCTCAGCTGAGGAGTAAGGGGTTTTCCCTATTTCTCTCCTTAGTGAGGTGAGCTGTGTTCAGGCTAAGGTATGCTGAATTTGAAATGACAACTCACTAAAATTGAGGTATCCAGAAACAAATATCATGAGTTGAGAAAGAACCTAGGGAACTACTGATGAATGGATTTAAAAAATGTGGTATTTACATACAATGGAATTTTATTCAGCCACAAAGAAGAATGAAATCTTGTCATTTGGAGGTAAATGGATGGAACTGGAGATCATCATCTTAAGTGAAGTTAACCAGGTTCAGAAGGCCAAAAGCCACATTTTCTCTCATGTGTGGAATGTAGACCTAATACAAATGCAGCAATATTTTGAAAAGCAGGTCACACTAAAGGGAGGTCACATACAAGAGGGGTAGGGTAAAAGAAGGAAATTAAGGTGAATATAGTTGGTGTGTTCTCTATACAACAATGAATATAGAATTTTTAAACCAGTTGAAACCACCATAAGAAAGGAACTAAGGTAGAATGAAGAAAAATAAAGGAGATAAAACAATTCAGGTTATAATACATAGATACATGAAAATGTCACAAGGAAACTCCCTGTGTACATATCTTAAACAAGCAAAAACATCAAGTTTTTTTCCTCTACAAAATCACAGAACAGGAGGGCAGAACAGGTCCTGCTTGGGGGAAGAGGGGTTGGCACCAATGGGAGGGGGAGGTGCCAGAGAAAGGGTACAGGAGGGTGAATATGGTGCAAATACTGCATACTCATGTATGTAAATGCAAAAATGATATCCATTGAAACTATCCGGAAATGGGAGGAGGGGAGAAATGAAAGAGAACAATGGAGGGGGTGAATTCAAGTATGAAAGACGCTACATTGGGATGGGGTGTGGCTCAGTGATAGAGCACTTGCCTAGTAACACAAAAAAAGGAAGGAAGGCAAGCTACATGATATCAAGAAATGAAGTTTATTTTCTTGAAATGGGAAGGTATGTGATTGTGACAGGCACTCTGGGCTCTCTGCTAGAGGCAAGCCCAGAGACAGTAGAGCCCTCAGTGAAGACACGCCCTGCATACATGCACGCACGTAGCGCGCGCACACACACACACACACTCATAAACACACACATACACACACACACACACACACACACACACACACACACACACAGAGCAGGAAGATCCAGGGACTTCTGCTCTAAGAAGAGCTCCTGGGCAGGACGTGAGAAACCTGAACATCCCTTTGTTTGGATGGCCAAAGCTGTTGATATCAAACTCTGTCCAGAGGTATCAGTCTGAGGAGAAAGTGGAATAGAGTAAAGTCATTAAGGGCATCCACTTCCTCCTCAAAGTCCTCCCTCTGCCCATGGCATGCCTTACTGAGGCTGATCTCTCCTTGTTCCAAAACCATCTCCAAGCACCTTTCTTACAGGTCCCCATATCGCTCCTTCCCTACTCACAGCCATTCCTATGACACATAACTGTCTGTGTAACCAGTCCCCAGCTAGGAAGATGTGCCCCCTTCATTCTGGATATAGGTCCCCACCCCCAAGGGCCTGTCCATGATTGTATGTCATGTCTCCCCCTCCCCTTAATCCCCTCCACTCCATGTCACAGGATAATCCTGGCATGCCCACACAAGTATCACTGTATGTGGCTCACCCACCCCCTTCAGATGACATACCACCTGAGCAAGGTTTTCGGAAGTAGATGATGAGAACAGCGCCCACAATGATGCCCAGTACACCCAAGCCAAAGGCTACACCACACAACACATTCTCCAGGAGGTCTGAGGGAATGGCGTTCTGGGGCACTAGAACAAAGGGAGAGAGATCAGGTGAGCCTGAAGACCTGGCTAGTGAGCCCTCTGCTCAGGGGAATAACTTGGGTATCTGGTTTGACAAGTGAGAAACTGAGGCATGGAAGGTTGAGACTGGCTAAGAAAAAGAATGGACCAAATAAACTCCAAATAGGGAAAGAAGGCCCCTCCCACAGGCCTATCCCTTTTTGCACCTGGAAGGACCAGACTTCCAGGGAAAACGGCCTCACCCCAAAATGCAATTGCTGTGTAGCGGTCAATTTCATGAGTTACGATGCAGGAGAAAACATCAGAGGGTTCTGGTGTGAAGTTTAAATAAGAAAAGGCGTGGAAGATGAGTCCATCGATGGCTGATACAAAAGTGGGCCCAACTCCTTCCACAGGGACAGAATGATGCTGCCAGTTTACTGTCAAAGTCGGTGGGAAGAGATTACTGATAAAGCAGACCAGCGTATTGGGCTTGCCAAACTCCAGGGGCTTCATTGTGAATACCTCAGCGACAGGGAAACCTGATGGGGAATTGAGGTGTTGAGGAAAGAAGGAACAAGTTTAAATGGTACTCTTGTGTTTGGAAAGGGTGAGGCACATGGAGGGGAGGGCAGAGAGACTTAGTGGGTGGGACTTCAAGACATAGAGATGAGGGAGAAGTTGAGTCCCTGGGGGGTTCTTCCAGGCAAGAACCCACTATGAACCCCTTTACCCTGACTTCCAGCAGCACATCTTGTCTAGACCTCACACAAACGTCTCATCAATCTTCTCATTAAAATTCAGGCATGTCATCAGATATTTCCTTCCATTTGCCCTTCCATCTTGCTAAGCACAGCAATATGAGTGCTCATATTCAGTAATCATCAACTAGTCTGTGTTGAGTTTATCACATTCAAAAAAATGGTTTTGAATGCTTAGTGCATGTTCTGTAATGGCTCCTGCCCACAGCAAAACACAGGGTACAGAGACTCTGTCTGGTGAGAAAAGAAATGCTAAAAAAGAAAAAAAAAAGGTCCTAATGAGAATGAGAAGGTATGAAAGATGGGAGATAAAGTTCAGTGTATAGATTAACAAGGGTAAGAATGCAGGAGTGCAGCCCCCCAACCTCCACCCCTCAAAAAACCCCTGACCTCTGGACACTGGAATCTTCCCATCAAGTTCTGGGCCTATTTCCTGGATCATTATTTCACAAAACTCTTTGTCAAATGAAATGGCAAGGGAGTCTCCGTGTTCCTGAGCCCAGTCGGCAAATTCAGGCAGACGAGGCACTCGCATGTTCTGGGAAAAGTTGAAGGAGAAAAGCTGGTCCTCGCCATAACTCTCAGAGAGCCCTATGCTGGGACTCCCATCTTGGCAGAACATAGTATGCCGGAATGTGTGGTTTTGCAGGTCATCCCACCACACAGGAGCAGGAGCTGCAAAGAAACAGGGCAGGTTCAGGAAGGTGGGAGTCTCTGTGCTTCTCTTTAACTTACAAAATAGCAAGGTATGTTGCTTAGGCTCCTCCTTCCAATGGGTGTGAAAAAATTAAAGGATCACTCCGAATCTCCCTTGCCCATAAAAAAGACAACTGTCCAAAGTCGTGAAAAGCAAAACATATCTACTATCAAAACCAATAGACTCAGAGTCACTCTGCTGGTTATGGGTTTGTACACTACACAAAGGCACCAGCCTAGGAGGCAGGTGGAGGCCAAAATCTAGCCTACATCTGCTTACAAATCCATGTGTCCTAGCACATGGCTGCATCCTCTCACAGGAGATATCTTTGTCCAACTCATCAAGACCATTGTCTGCACTCTCAAAGGCTGAGAATGGGTTCCCCTGTCTCAGAAGGGGGGAGAGAAGGAATGGCCATGGCCACAATGACACTGCCCTAACCTACTCCAGACACATGTAAACTGAAAATCAGTCTCCAGACCTCTTCAGTCATTTCACTGTTACCAAGCCTTTCTGTAAACCTCTTCTCCCACCTAAAAACCCTTGAGATATCCTGGTGACAGGATTGAGAGGAAGTGACCCCATTGGTTGCAGGAAATAAACCTCTTCTTTAAAACTCCTGACAGGAACCACCCAGTCAGCAGGAACCCTTTTACCCAGTACCCAGAATAACAGATTTAGAGTGAAAGAGGTCTTCCAAATTACTCTTCCATTCTGTCCCATCCTTCATAGAGAAAAAACTAAGTTAAGGGGCTTTTCAAGAATCCTAAAGTGAGTTGATAAGAGAGTACAGTAGAGGACTGGAAATAACCTTTGTTTTGTTCAAATTCCAGCATTACCACTTGCACAAATCACTTAAACTAGCTGAGTCTCATTTATTCATCTTGTAAAATTGGATCTCTACATCAAGACTGTCCTAAACGGATCATTTAAACACCTGATATGGCTTATAACCCATACATAGTACATCTCTTTCCCCATTCTGCTGTTGTTTCCATCATCTCAACACTTACAAAGCACTGGGCTCTTCTTCCATGCTCTGGGTAGGCTCCCTGGGCTCTGAGGCTATCGGAATGGCCAGGTCAAAGAGGACCCACTGTCTTACCTGCAGGAATTCCCCAGGAGTGGGGCAGCAGCCACAGAAGCTGTAGCAGCTGCAGCGCAACTCCTTGGTTCCGCTCATGATCCATATCTTCACACTACACAGTAAGTAGGCGCTACCAGCCCCTCTGACCTAGGTCCCCAACTCCCTCCCCCAGAGGGTAGTCTTAGATCCTGCTTCACCAACTGATTCCCAATAGTTGCCCTGTCATTTTTTGGCTAAACCAATCACAGAACTGTAAAGCTTAACATCATCAGTCACTAGGGAGAGACCTAAGGCCAGCAACGTCCTAAAGATTTGGCTCTTTGACCAGGCCTAGTGGGCGGGAGGGCCAGTGGAGGAATGTCTGCCTCCTGGTGGAGGTCATTTTCTAGCCTCAACTGTCTGACTCTTCAGAGCAGTGCCGCCTTGTGGCAGAATTTTGAGATGGGCAGAAAAATCTCTGAGCAAACCCCATTAACTTCAGACCCCACCAACTCCTCCCTCCTGAGCCCTCTCTTCTTTCTCAGAAAGGTTTTTCTCTTTCAGGCATTAGCTCATACTCATTCTGCAGAAATACACTGAAGTTCAATAAGTGCTGGGAATTGGGCCCAGTGCCTACAAATACAAAGATGAACACAATAGTCCCCCTTATCTGAAGTTGCATATCTTGTGGTTTCAGTTACCTGTGATAAACTTCAATCTGGAAATATTAAATAGAAAATTCCAGAAACAAACAAGTTTTAAATTGTGCATTATTCTGAGTAGCATGACGAAATCTTGCATCATCTTGCTCAATTCTGGCTGGAAGGTGAATCATCCATTTGTCCAGTGTATCCCCACTGTATTTACCACCTGCCTGTTCAGCCACTTAACAACCATCTCAGTTATCAGACTGACTGTCATTGTATTCCAGTGCTTGTGTCCTACTAATCCTCATTTAAAACACAATACTTTACCTAATAAGGGCCCCAAAGTGCAAGAGTAGTGGTGGCAATTTAGATATGCTAAAGGGCCAGTGGTGCAAAGACCCTGAAGTACTTCCTTTAAGAGAAAAGGTGAAAGCTCTTGGGTTAGTAAGGAAATAAAAAAAGTAAGTGAATACAGTATAATTAGCTACTGTAAGATAGAAAGCACATTCACAAAACTTTTATAAGAGTGTATTATTATAATTGTTCTATTTTATTATTACTGTTGTTAATCTCTTACTGTGCTGAATTAATAATAAGCTTTGTCAAGAGACAAATCCTGGTTGTGGTTTCTGGTGTTCACTGAGGATCTTGGAATATATCCCACATGGATAAGGTTAGTTCAGATCTGGAATGTCCCTCAAAGTCTCATGTGTTAAAGGCTTAGTCCCAAACTGATGGGCTATTGGGAAGTGGTGGAAACTTTAGGAGGTGGGGATAGTTGGAAGTAGTGGGTCATTGATGGTGTGCCCTCAAAGGGTTTATTGGGACCCTGGCCCCTTACCCACTCCCTTTTTGCTTCCAGGCCTCCATTAAGTAAGCAAGAAGTTGCTCTACCATCAACTCCCTGCCATGATGTTCTGCCTCACCAAAGGCCCAAAATAATGGAGCCAAGTGACTATGGACTGAAACCTTTGAAACTGTGAGTCAAAATAAATCCTTCCTCCTTTTAAGATATTTATCTCAAGTATTTTGTCATAGTGTGGAAGCTTGACTAACACAAGGGGGCCTACTGCAAGACATATTCCTGCCTTCAAAGATCTTAAAGGCTAGAGGGAGGGTTAATGAATAAATTGTTAGGGTCCGAGAATTCTATTCCTCCGAGAGACAGAGAGTCACGCGTGAATGCAATCAACAAAGCAGAGTTTATTGAGCTGGCAAGCCAGGGTCAAGCTCCCACACAGACACACAGGTCCGATTGGGCAGACAAGACCCCGAGCCTCTTTAGGGAAGATCTTATATAGGCCCCTACCGGCCGTTACAGCAAAAGCCCGCACAGTACATAGCCAATGAGTTTGTAACACCACATACATTTCCAGCCTATCCATTTAAGAGTACATTACTTCTTAGCCTATAGATTCAAGGGTCAGTATTCGCACACACGGATACATTTAGCAAGCAGGCGGGGCACATCTTGCACGTACTTCTAGTCGTCTTTCGCAATCTGCTCACATTCCTCACATTCCTCACATTCCACCTGCCCCCATCCTCTTTATCTTATCCTGCATGGGGCATCCTGTGCTGGCTTTACTGGTTTCTGCTATGGGGATCTGCTGGGGCAAAGGGCACATCCTTTCATTCCCCCCCTTTTCTTTGGGCTATATTGAGGAATCATTCTCAAGGGGATGAAGAGCCTGGTATTGTTGGCGGAGGACCAGAAGTTGGACAGTGTTAATTCGGTTTTTGATGAAAGTCACAAGTCGGTTTAGAATACAAGGTCCTATTGTTAGAGTAGAGACTGATTGTCGCACACGCCGCAAGGTAAAAAGGGCTCCTGGATGATTTGTTTTGTAGAGTCTGACTCCCCAGGATTTACCCAATTCCCAATTTGTCGCCTTTTTTCCTAAATCAGTGAAATTTATCATAATGGGATTACAATTGGGGGGAGTTGGGCATCCCTTATTTATAGGTCTAGGTTGGTGGTATGTAATACCAGATTGAGAGACTCTACTTAACTGAATAAGGTCCCCCTGTTTGGGGGTGGCCACCATATGTCCCCTGAGCTCTCACAACCCCATGACTTACAATAATAGTCTGCAATTCCTCCACATTTTTTTCTGTGGTTGGGTTGGGGAGCGGGGCAGACATAGAAGTAACTTTGGCACAAATCCCATTGTCCCCTGCCAGTGAATAAGGCCCTTAAGTCAAAGTATAATTCTGGGAACCAGGTGCTGGGAGGGGTCACCTTGGAGGTCTGGTTAAGAATGTCTCCTGTGGATACATCTACAATCATCCAGGTCAGGTTAAAAGGTTGATGTGGATTTGTATGCCCCAAGCAAGTGGTGGACAGGGTTAGAAAAAGGAATAAGGTTACCGAGGTCCAGTTTGCTGAAGTTTGAGTTTGAAGGAATTGTCCTTGTGGTGGGACACCCTTCTTGTTGGCAGGAAGTCTTCCTTCACAGCTACCGGGTCCGCCGGTCTGATGTGGGTGTAGTGGACCCAGGTGATGATCCCATTCTAGGAGGGCTGCGGAGCATCTGGGGTGTTTTCGTTTTCCGGAGCATCTCGTATCAGCCGGAGCTTGAGTGGATTTGTGGGATGCTGTCGTGCAGTCCAATTTCCCTGCTCCTCCTGAGGACGTGCCCGTCTCACATGGGAGTGGTGTACCCATGGTGCAATTCCATCACCTTGAGGGGTGGGGGTAGTAAGCAGTACAACATAAGGTCCTTTCCATCTAGGCTCTAGGGTTTTGGACTGATGCCTTTTAACCCATACCATGTCACCCGGGACTATGCCATGTTCCGGAGTCGGGACCCTCTCAGTAGTATGGTACGCTTGAATTAAGGGCCATATTTGTTGTTGCACCTTAGCTAGAGCCTGTAGCATAGTCAGGTAATTTGGGGCCAGATCACCTAGTCCCGGGCTTAAGGTCCTTTGAATGATGGGGGGTGGAGCCCCATACAGGATCTCAAAGGGGGTTAGCCCATGGACATAAGGGGAGTTCCGGACTCAGAAGATGGCCAAGGGAAGGAGTGTCACCCAATCACCGCCAGTCTCCAGGGCCAATTTGGCTAAAGTCTCCTTTAGTGTCCTATTCATCCTTTCTACTTGCCCTGAGCTCTGGGGGTTATATTCACAATGTAGTTTCCAATTGGCCCCCATAGCCTGGGCTAGTCCCTGCAGGACTTTACTAACGAAAGCCGGACCGTTATCTGACCCAATTGCCTCAGGCACCCCGTACCTGGGTATGATTTCCTCTAGTAAGGCTTTTGCCACTACCTGACTCGTCTCCCTCTTTGTAGGAAATACCTCCACCCAGCCCGAAAAGGTATCTATGAACACTAGCAAATATTTGTACCCAAACTTCCCTGGTTTCACTTCAGTAAAATCCACTTCCCAGCTTCTTCCCGGGGCCCTCCCCCATTCCCGAATACCTGTGTGGTGCCCCTCCCTTCGTCCTGGTTTCATAGTTGTACAGCTAGCACAATCCTCCACAGTTTGACAGACGGCCGTGGTCTGGTTTGGAAATCGGAGTTGTGCAGATGTCAGCAAGTCTAGCAACTTTCTCCGCCCCAAGTGGGTGGACTTATGTAAGTTAGCTAACAGGAATCGGCCGAGTTTCTGGGGCAGGATTAGCTTGCCTTCCAAGTCGCTTCTCCATTCATCCTCCCTTTTTCTAGTGAGGGAGTGGGCTCTCATCCAAGTGAAATCCTCCGAGGAGTACTCTGGTCGGGGAGGTAGTGAAGGGAGCTCGGGGACAAGCACATCTATAGCCGCGACCATGGAGGGACTCACCATTGCTGCTCTCCTAGCTTCTTGATCCGCCCTGTTGTTACCGACAGCTTCCGGAGTCTTGGCAGACTGATGGCCTGGGACATACATCACTGCCACTGCCTTCGGTTTTTCCACTGCTATCAATAGACGCTGGACTTTGGCCAGGTTATTTAAGCCTTTCCCTTCTGCTGTGCGAAATCCCCTTTCGATAGATGGCTCCGTGGACGTGGATGGTACCGAAAGCATAGCGGCTATCGGTGTAGATATTGACTCGTTTTCCTTCTGCCCTTTCCAGGGCCTCGGCCAAGGCAATTAATTCTGCCTTTTGGGCTGAGGTTCCGGGTGGGAGGGCGCTGCTCCATACCATGTTTCCTTCTTGGTCGACCACTGCTGCCCCTGCCCTTCGGACTCCATTTTGGACAAAACTGCTTCCATCAGTGTACCAGTTTAATTTACAGCCGGACAGTGGGGTGTCCTTTAGGTCAACCCGTACCTGGGTAACTTCGGAGAGGAACTCCTTGCAGTCATGGACAGGTGTCTGTAGTTCCGGGTTGGGCAACAGGGTGGCAGGGTTCAGAGTTACAGGATCTGTGAAGGTGATCTGAGGGGAATCCAGCAAGAGCCCCTGGTAGTGGGTGAGCCTGGCATTCGTCATCCATTTCCCAGGGGGTTGTTTAAGGACTCCCTCCACCGGGTGAGGGGCCGTGACCCGGAGGGCCTGTCCAAAGGTTAATTTGTCTGCTTCTCTCACTAACATGGCAACGGCCGCTATGATGCGGAGGC